CTAAGCAAGCATAATAATAAATAAATAACATTTTCCAGCTGTATGGTCCTCCCCCTAACCTTACCGTTGATTCTGAAACTCCGAGTCTTTTCTGTTATCCGATCGTCATGATATGCGAAGAGGTGTCGATGTCTACCGCCTTCTCCCGCCGAAAATATTGGGGCTTTGGATTGGATGGCACGCCACCTTGGGCTTGGCTGTACGTGCGCGCGCCTCTCTCGAACTCCGCGAACAGGCGAAGTGAGCCGAACCGCCGATGAGTGAACCACACGTCACCACTGTGCACGAGAATCCTCGCATGCTGTGGGATACTCTTCTGTCGCATGAAAATCGGATAACGAAGTTGGGTATTTCACTCCTGCATGCGGGGCCACGACTGAAGTATTTCTGAACGGCGTTTCTCTCAGGCGCGAGAAAAAAAAGGAAGGAAGCATTCATTTATTTACCTGCAACCTCTGTCCGTGTACCCTCTAAAAAAGTATCAATTTGTATTTATTGATTGATTGCATTCTATATGTTCTGTTAAAAAGGCCAATTAGCCTTCGTCCGCGATGAGTCGCTGTTGAGACTCGAGTTCAGTCGGTCACCCAACCAGGAACCCGTGATGTTCTCAAGTTCGCGTAACCTTCCTTGACTTCTTCTTGTAGTTAGCGAATTCGGGTAGCACACCAGTTTCGCTGCCGTGGCCTTTCAGTAGAACCATCCAGCATGCACCTGGATGGATGACAACGAAAATCCCGATCAGGATGACCCGGCACGAGATTGATCTTCCCAATGAGTAGTCAGTGCGCAATGCCCTGAGCCACCTCGCTCTGTGAGGAAGTGTTCGTTCATGAACAACATTTAAAATATTTCTTTGCGTTTGTATTGTCCCTAATTATGAAATGACAAGTTATCGTGATTTGGTTGGTTGTTTATGGCTGATTATTGAATATTACCGATCTTTATGTAATGGAATCGTATACTTCATGCCTGAAATTTCGATGCTTTTAGGAGTACAATTATTGTATTTTTCACTGGGCAGTATCTTTTCTTTTAAAACTGCTGATTGATGCCGTAGCACATACTGACTTACGTGATAGTAATGGTGATGCAAACAACAATAATTTAAGATTTCTCCTCCTTTAATTTCGGTTCTATAATTTCTGTACAGATCATTTCAAGAAAGCACCTATGGCTTGAATTACGTCGTCGGTTTTTTATAAAATAATTGTTGAATGATTTTAACATTAACATCGATTTTTAAGCCGATGTTGTGCGTTCGATGTTTTTCGGTTGATAATTTTATTTTTGAATGAAAGTACCATCATAAGAAAAACGTGTATTACTTGTGCGATATCATTTTTCAGACCAAAGTTAGCAAGGTGGTGGCTTTGCATTAATTTTTTATGGCTGAATATTCAAGAATTTTATTTATAGAATATTGACTGTTGAGATTTCGTCAATACAGTGCATACTATTTTTGAATTTTCGAATTAATTGACCGGATTTCTTTAAATTTTTATTTTGACAATTAAATCTCAGTTAAAAATTAATAAACGCGGACGACTGTGAACGGTTCTCCACCATTTAATAGCATCGCTGGTTTTGGACGATGTTTCATTAACATCAATATTTTGATTTTGAACATTTATAAGTTTAGAAACATCATATTCTGTGCGAGAATCACATCCTTGGTGGACAACAGGTTTTCGAAGTTCTATTGAGAAACACCTTTCAAAACAATTTGTTTGCTTTACCATCAATCTTGATCTCCCTTTGTCCACACATTGTAGCCTTTTTCAATTGAAATACCACCCACATTGAAGAGCTGCGGCGCTTCTCGAAAGTGCTTTGAATATGTTGATTCCTGAGGAAAGGTAAACTTTGCGAAGTATAGGAAATGAGGTTTCAATAATACATCAGATATAGTAGATAGTCGGCCAACCAGTTTCCTTATTAACAAAGTGACATTTGAAGTTATGATTAGTAATCTGAACTTGTAACGGTATATTAATGTAGTAAATATAAAATACGAACATCTAAAAGATTGTACCCAGGCATAAGAAATTGAGGCATTTTGAAATCGGTAGTTGGCATCAATCATATTTGAATGTTTAAATCATTTATCCAATCGAAACTAGATAACACGCTTAGATGGTGATTTCAGGATGTTAACTATCCTTTAACAATGCAATATAAATATTATTAGGACGTAGTAACGTTGTTCAAATGCAAACTGTGTAATGCGATAAAGTGCAATCAAATTCTACATATTTGTGTTTCAATCGACTGTTCTGGAATTATTCTAATATTATTTGTACTTTCTAAAATTTCTTTAAATCTTTGGATTCCACGTTTGATTTTTACTTTCTTGCTTCTCTTTACGCAGTAAAGACATTTCCACATTTTGGTAAAATCGGAATGTTTAAATTTTTGTGTAATAACTTATATCAAGAATATCCGGAACTACATTGTTATAAGGGTAGTATGTGGGCTCTGAGGAGCTAGTATATTCAGATTTCTTTGCAATGCGAATTTATGAAAAAGTTTCCCATTATATAAGTGGTATTACATTCCAAACTTGGTTTTTACAATTCAGGCTCCTGCTAACATTATTTGCGATCTACATCAAATAAGCTTTCAAGAAACTTGGCGGAAACTTTTGTTGGGAGGTTTATATGCTGCAATCAAAGTTATGTTAGAAGAGATCAATTCGATTATAATAATTGTTTCTATTTCATTTGAGGATGGGGATTGTATCAGTGTATGTTTAGATTTTCCTATTGATGAGAATTGCTACCCCACCTGATCCTATTTGAGAAATTCTATCACTGCAATATGAAAAAATATTTGGGATCGAAAATTCTATCCGGCTTTAAATGTGTTTCTGAAATACATGCAACATCTATGTCAAGGACTTGTAGAAAGTATCTTAGTTCGTTCTCTATGGCGCTTTAACACCATTTGCATTCCAGTGAAAAATTTAAAGTTTTCTATTTTATTTCGTGCCATTGATAGTGAACAGAAATAAGTCTTTGAACCATTTGTTGCAACTGAGGAATGATTGCAGAAAGAATATTATTTATTGTTTAGATTAGGTTTTTGTTTATTACATTCATGGTTTGGAGAACTGGGCGAGAATTCCTGTTATCTGGCCTAGGCGGCTGACTAGTGCGATAAGCGAGAGAATACAAGGGCGTTGAGTTAAGCGGCAGAGGAGGAAACTCTTGAAGGGCATAGTGGTAAGGTGCACATCTAGGTCGTCTTCCGCAATTTGCCTGTGAATGACCGAAAGTCTGACATTTTTTCACATTATTGGAGTTTTAGGCTTTATGCGAATTTGAACTCTGACAATACTATATATAAACTGATTTATTCTTAAAATTGCTTTGTTATTTTCATTATCAGTTAAATCCACCGCAACAGTAGTTAACGTTCTCTTCCGAACAGTCTAACAACATTTAAAACTTGAAAGTTTTTCGAAAGTTCGTTAAATATTTCCTCTTTTGAATAGGTAATTAGCAGATCTTTTATGACACCTGAAAAAGTTTTTTGGGTAGGGTCACTATATGTGTGATGCTCGATTTTCTCTTTTTCACAGAATTTTAGATATTCTCTATAGTTCTCTATTGAGTTGAATTTAATTTTTATAGTTTCTTTTTCTAATTTAGTAGAAAAATTGTCTTTTGCAATAGCTTTTAGTTCACTGATAAATAGGGGATAATCGAATATTTATAGACATAAAAGGGGGGTATTTTAATGATGGATTCTTTACTTTCTTACCTTTCGTTTGGCGAATTTTCTTCGGTCATGTTTTGAAAACCTTGGTACCTGTTTTTGACGGGCACGTTGTACAATATTCTTTTAGAAGTATTGTTTTCGTCTGGTAGATCTACGTGAATGCGTTTTAGACTTTTACTGCTTTTTTTATTAAAACCACTGGTTGACTGTTGACTAACTGATTGCTGCGAGGCAATATCATACCTGATAAAATAAGAATAGTTAGTGTTTACTGACTGAAGGTTGGTCAGAGTCCCTTCCGTTTCTCCATCCTGCTGCTGAGCGGGCGGTTGTGACGTGTTGAATTGTTCCAGGGGTTGAATATTTTCCATTTGGGGTGGAAATGGAACCACATCTCCATTCATTGCTGTGAACTCATTTGGTGTGTCACCATTTAGCACGTGAGCTGCTGACACTGGTAGACCCCCCAATGCGGGGGACTTGTTGAGAACATACAGCTTTTGCTGCAGCACTAAACTTTCACTGAGGACTAATATATTTCGTTATGCACAATAAACAATACTGTTTCACTAAAAAACAACAACAACACCGTTTGAAGCATGGGGAGTCGCTGGTAGCGGCGCCCGTTTGTACTTGCACTAAACACGCGTTTGAGCGTAACACCGAAGCACAGCGATAAGCGGAGCGGTGCGATGCTTGCTGTACGGTGTCTAGAGCGAGACTGTGACACTATTCTTTAACTTATACACTAACCGCTACTACGCGGCCCCGGAGTATATGCCGTGTGAGGAGATACTTTATAATGATGTACGTATGATACGTTATAAGAATGTATGTAACTTTTTGTATTTCTAAAATCAGGAATATTTTGGTGTCTTGAAATGATTTGTCGGGACACCGGGACAAAGGTTAAAAATCCGGGACTGTCTCGAGAAAACCGGAACATATGGGATCCCTATCTAAAAGCATGGGGAAGTTTTTCACTTTTTAAGAGAAGAGGCTCTTATAAGAGGTAGGCCATACATTAGTATGTGGTTCTGGCAGGTGGTACATTACAAAGCTTGGGAGAGATGGTACCCCTGGTGAAAGAGATTAAATTCTTGTATCTTGTATTACTTGTATCTTGTATTCTTGTATTACACCGTGGATAATGAATGGTCTCTTACACCGTGGTGGCCCAGACTCAAAAGATAGAAGATAACTAGAGAGAAAAACTGTGTGCCATTTTCTAGCATCACTCATCTTAGGACTAAAAATAATTGTGCAATTGAAAAATATTTGAAAAATATGGCTGAATTTATTACATTTCACTGTATAATTTTCTTAAAAATACAATGGATAAATTAGTTTCTTCACTAAGTAATCTCAATTCTCGAACGGAACACAGTTGTAGGAACTGAAAGAATTGCAATTAATTTATCATTAACTTGCGATAGCAGTTCAGTGAAACGGAACGTACATTTTGTTCATTACACCGCACACGGAAGCGTTTCTCCAGTCACGTTTGAATGGAGATATGAAGATCACTGCGTAGAGGGTGCTACCTGTCGGTTGAAGCATGAACTCTTAGCTGTCAACGTGTTCCCAGTAGTTCCCCAGGTAGCGCTGGCGTGTCGCTATGAGGGCGCTACCGCTAGGCCAAGCGGGTCGTCATCTGCGGAAAAAAAGAATTAATATATTTATTATAATCCTATTACAGGAAAATTAATACATTAACATTGTAAATCGGTTCTTTAAGATAACGTAAAATTTTATTGCTTCATTTTTCAATAATGTTTACGTCCTCGTTCGAATATACTATTGTATTTCTGAGGTACAATGTATACCACAATATTCATTCACAATTCCTACACGAATTTGTAAATCATAGATATGTACACACATTTTGTTGATTAGTGGTATTATTTCTTCACTGCTTGGGCAGTTTGCAAGAGCACATATTCTAGATACTTTGGAATCCTATATTCAAAAATATAGCTTTTACAAATTTTCTATACTAATGACAATCTTTCAAATCAATAAATCAACAAATATTCTACTTTATATTCACCATAAATGAAACATTCTTCATAAGAATGTACCCCACCCCTCCCACCTCACCCCCGCGCGACAAAAGACCTGGATGCATTAGCCTCTGTGAAATTGGAACGCAGTCTGTAAAAAGGAAAAGTCTCGTCATGCTTTCTCCGATTTCCATTTGTAATCTACGAATAAATGTTTCAAGAAGTGAATTCATTGTCTAAAATTGGGGTAGGACGCCGCATTAGATTTCCGTTTCGCCTTGAAACATACAATATGTTCCAGCATTACAAAATAACATTCAAATTATAAAATAAGAAAAAATTAACATTTCAAAATTACATTACTATAGCATTCATAAATTTAACATTACACAATGAGTGTGACCAAGACACAATACTTACTATTTTTTTAGTGAATAAAACGATGGCCAAGAAAAGAAAGTAAACAAAAAGGAAAAAGTGAAGTAAACGAAGGCCAAGAATTCTCTCTTTTAAAATATCTGACCTCTAGTCGAAATTATTCGGACCAAAATATCTTCACTTATGAACTTGAATTTTTAAAAGCATACTTAAGTAACGAAATCAAAAAGAAAATCTGAGAATAATTGCAATTCTATCCCTTTAAAGAAAACATTGTTTGCACATTTATTCAATTATTTTTTCAAAATTCCTCAAACGAAAAAAAACCTCTTCTAAATATATTAATACTTTTAATTAAAAGTATTGAACCACCCACCACTATTAGCGCTTTCATATACGCGGCGATGTTTCCGTGTATGTGCCGTTATTTCAGAAGGTTTGATAATATTTGCCCTCCTTGATTCCTTCAGTTTTCATTTAGATTTAGATTTATTTAGTCAAAAAAACAGTAAAAACTGTTTGTGACTATGGAGGAGAAGAGTATCTGGGCACATTTTCTTGAGTTCCTGAATCCCTTCCCAGGGTTAATATGAGTAAAAATATGAGAAAAGTTAAAGATAAATGAATAAAAATAGAATTTAAAAAAGCGCGAGATTAGAAATATTTGAAAATTGTAGACATTTTCGTTCCCGAGTAATAGAAAACTAATTTGCAACAGTAAACAAATTACAAACATGATTTTTTTGCATTCCTAACAAAATTGTAACTCGCCCTTACCTCTATTCCTACCATTACAAGTAAAAGCAGAGTTCAACAAACGTGAGCATAGTGAAGCTACATGTGTAGTGACACTACAGTCCAGAAGCAAAACAAAGGGCCATCTCAGCATTTGCTCAATGGAAGAGGGATACTGGACAAAAACCTGATCGAGATGGGGGTCATTTATCCGGAAGCTGAAGTACATTATATGTTACAAGCATATTAATCTTTAAAAAATATACAATACAATTCATTTACGGCTGAGATACACACAGCGAAATACTGGAAAATCGAATTTAATTAGCAGTAAGATAGACTGTAGCAGTAAGAAATGCAGTAAGATAGAGTTAAGATGTACTCCCAAATCGTCGTTACCTGCACACCGGCAGATGTGATATTCATGAAACTTCGTGACCTCATGTATATTTACTTTCTTGCTCCAAAAGATCCGATGTTTTCTTCTTAATTCCAAGACATATATGTGCGCATTATTAAACAGTAATTTAAATGTTAGTTTTTCTAATCTAAAGTATTGAATAAACATAGCATTTCCTTTAAAGAGCTGTTTCGTCGTTTTTTCTCCATCATACAGGCATTTATATGGATTATTCTTTTATAATAATGATCGGATTACCCTGAAGCTCGAATCTCCGTGGATTTGATTACCGAGATTCCACTATACAATTACCTTTTTGTACATTCATTTATGTAGTTAGGTAGCACACCTTATCTCCTGAGTCTCGGCACAAATAAAGACATTGAAGGTCTTCGGTGCGTATTTTTTGTTTGTTTGTTTTGTATGTTTAGAATTTCAAGATTATGATGAATAATTTTGAAGATCATACAATTATCTAGCTCTTCCATCCCCGCACAAAATAAGGTACATGAAAAGACATTGTCATAATTGCATTTTTCAATATGCCTGTGTAGTTGCAATGATACATTTATTTATTGTCAAGTTGATGAATCAGGGGTAAACGATTCAAGTTGTGCGAAAAAAAAACATGATAATTCAGAGCCTATTACTCATGAAATCCCTCATATCACTTTTATTTGTAGAATACTTTCGAAGTATACTAGAAGGATCTGGTCCGAACCGTTACTCTTGTTGAGTGGAATCGAATGAGATTTTAATTACCTCCGTAATTACATTAAACCCCCACCCCACCCGTTTTTTGAGATTTCTCTTAGGCTGTTCTGGAAGAATCCGGAGAAAAATAACCAGTTCCTCGTGAGAAGTTAGCTGACTCCTCACTTGTCGAAATAGTGGAACAAAAGAGCTCTAACGGACGGAGAGACAGGCAGTTGCTTTATTTAGAGTTCATTGCCTAATTAAAGTAAACAATTAAAATTTATCTACAGAAATTCCACCTTCTAATAAAGTATCTCATGTTGGGTAATTTGAGAGAGCACTAACAAATATCAAAACGTAATGTACTGGGTAAACAAATAATAGTGTGTTAATTAATTTGTGTATTACATAATTGAAAGTTTGAAATAAAAAATGATATAAATACCATTTTCATACTTTCGAGAAAAATGAGTTTATATATACGTTAAACCTATTGGACATACAATTCCCGCCATTTATAATCCCCCCGTAACACTACCAAGAAATGCCTCGGGACTTAGGTTCTTATTTCTGTTATAGAGATTGTTTCATTCATCGTTATTCTGCTAAAAACGTACATTTAACATAAATGGCACTTTCATACTTTTTTATTTCAAGTCTTCGATTCTAGTCTGAATAGGCTATCAACGTTTATTGAATAGTCAATAGTTGTTCTAGGTCGTTTATCCCCAATTCGTTCACATTTTGACTAGTTTTCTTTCACTCATTTGCCAAGTGCTTGTAGGTTATTAATGCAGCTTTTTTCCATTTTCAAAATTCAACCAATTTTTTACACTGTTTTTACGTTAAATAATTAAATAATTTTTTAAACCACCGACATCTGAAACTTTTCATTTACGTAGAAATATAATGGAAGAAAGTGCACTTTTACATAATACATAATTGAAATGTTCAGACAAAAAATATTAACTAACTTTTAAAGTTACCTAGTAAAATGAAATTTGATACCACTACATGGAAGATATAATCGGTATAAGCCATACAAGCATTACAAGCATTACAAGTTAACCTTATTGCAATTTGTTGTTTACCTTAAAGCCTCATTAAATATCATTATTATTAGCCAACTAAGATCACATTAAGGGCGAGGACGTTGAAAAATAGCTTAAAATAAGGATTTTTTTGTTTTCTCCAAAAAGCCACATTCCGTCATTTCTACCGAAAATCCCTCTAATCTAATAAGTTTGGACAACTAAGAAATGAAATTGACGCGTTGGATGCAAGGAAATGGGGCCAGATGGTAACTGCTACAAACCTTCGTCTTCCCCTCTGCATTTCAAGTAGCGCTGATGGTACTTTACGCCCCCGGCGGTGCGGTTCAGTGGCTGCTCGCAGGTGTAGCCTCCGTTGTGGTGAGCCATGGCAAAATCATCGCAGTTCACCCGACCGTCTCCATTGCAATCCTACGGAAAAAAAAAACATTTCAATGAAGGTTGTGCTCCAGATTCTCTAGCACGCACCTTCCTCACACACTATCGGATTTTGGTGGTTGTAATAATGTCCTGTAAGAGGTAAAAGGTAGCAAGAGATAAAAGGTTGCAAGGGTGAAAGGTTCGCGTACCGCGCGGTACAGTTAATGTAATGCACACAACTGTGGTGAGACCGGGAGAGGTGGCTGAGGGTATCAACTGACGTCACTTCAGTGGCTCTGAACGGGTGGTTTTTTTGGTTCGAGTCCCGACGGTGGCAGGATTTTCAACACTAACCAGATAGCTAGATCAAGTTCTGTCGCTGACTGGTGAACAATTCTAGCGGTCGGCTGCACTGATCGGTAGTTTTACGTGGTTTCTGCAATCAACACCAGGCGAATGCCGGAGCAGTACCCTAACAAACGGGCCACGGACCGCGCGCGATCTTTCCTTTTGTCCTTGATCGGTACGCACACTTTTACACGAACGTGCACTACACTACCACACATGCCGGGGGACCGGTCGGGAGCTTAGAGCCTGTCCCAGCTGGGGGTGCCCTGATGATGAGAGATACCTGGTTGGAGAAAACCCCGCTTGTCACTAGTTGGTACCGGATCTCGCCATTCGGTTGGGCAAGATCACCGCCACCCCCTGAGCAAAAACAAAAACATGCACTGCACTTAAACGTAAGGCCTAATGACCTTAGTAGTTGAAATCAATAAATAATTCATATGATGATACGTACTGTAATGTATGTGGGTGTGTTAATTGATTCAGGACGCGAATACTTCTAAGGCCATTACTCTCGTGAATGTAGTGCGTGTTGAAGTGCTTGAAGTAGCGCCCCCCCCCCGCCGTAAGAAGGCGAAATTCAGCGCCAATCTCACGTCACAATCCGTATTCTCCGGTAAGTTTCTGCCCCACCGGCACACTGTTCCATCCGGGATCACCTCTATGCTCCTGGCATGTGCTGTAGTCTAGTGCTTGTAAGTGTAAATATGTTTAAGTAAGAAGTGAGGATAGAACAAGGAAGAGGAAAGAAAGATTGCGCCAGTCTGTGGCTCATTTGTTGGGGCATTGATCCCGCATTCGCGAGGTATTTATTAGAGAAACCGCGTAAAACTACCGATTAGAGCAGTTTGACGGTAAAATTCATTTCAGATAGCGGCTGAATTGGGTCTAGCTGTTTGGGGTGTCGAACATACGCCGCATCCGGATCTCAAACTTTAGGACTTGCCGGTAAAGGATGCCGTCCATCTATTGCATCCGGCCTGATTTTATCGAAACGTGAAAATCAGGACAAAATTGTGACATGGGTTATCTAACGTAGGTTGCCAAGGAATTGCCAAAAGAACATTAAAGATCAAAAGTAAAGTTGTTACTAGTAAAATCAATAATTAAGTACATATCTGGATTGATAAATATATTTTTAGAGTAATATTCTGCATAAAATACATTACAAGAGATTTGAACTTACTTCAGAAGGAATTTGATGTCGGTTTTTCAAAAAGCAAAGAGATTCAACGCCTATTACAAGAGATTTGCAACATAATACTCGTACTTTGGAATATTTTGGAAGGAAATGAAAATGTTTTCTAAACAGATCTATCTACAAATAATATAAAAAAGCCGTAAGTTTGAAACATGTTTATTCTGAGAGACTGTACACAAAATATTGACATTCATATACACAGCGTAGGCGGCATTCATATTCCACACCAGAATCGGATTTGTCGCGACAAAGTTACTCCCTGACAGTTTACTGAACGTTCTCTTGACGATTGATTGATTTGGTGTTTCTATGCCATGGTCTTTCGCGAAGCGGGGGTAGTGCAGTTCCTTTGTGTGTGTGTGTGTGTGTGTGTGTGTGTGTGCATGTGTGTGTGTGTGTGATAGAGTTATTCCCACTGGATGGTGGGTTTCAGCACCGACCTACGAGTCGGCTTTTGGGATTTCCCCAACCAGGTATCTCCCATCAGTGAAGCACCGCCCCTGCCAGGGCAACCTCTAAGCTTCCGGCTTGTGTTGTAATGTAGTGCTCCTAAGTGTAAGGGTGTTTAACCCTTTGAGTACCAGTGATCTCTTCCCAAAACCACCATTTCATTTTTTTGTTTCGGAAATCCCAGGGGCGTTTGCGTGAAACCACCGACGCTAATACGAAGCAGAGTAATGTAGAAGTTCTGTGACTTACTTTCACGAATTGAGCTCCTTGTACTGGCCGTTTAGAAATTTGATAAGGAAACATTGACGCTGTGTTCTTGCTTCTGGATTGCAGGAGTTTTGTTTTTGCAATTATTTCTTGGATAATATTCTTGAAACTAGGATATTTTTACGAAACATATTGTGGAGGTATCTGACAGTCAATATAACTCCACATAAACGTATTTTTACGTAAATTCGAATCTATACTAGTAGTTTTACGTGTGGTTTCGACTTTTAACCAATGGGCCACTACGTACTTTTAACAATTTAGTTATTTGTTTGTAATTTATTATATTGTGAAAAATATTTGTTGCTTGTAGTTTAGTTATTTTGTTTTAAGCAATTCGAGTTAGTGGAAGCTTCAGGATGTTTCATGTACACGATCTAATTGTCAGTGTTTTAGAAGAAATTCGGAGCGATGTAGGTTCAGAAGCATCTGCAGCAGAACGCCAGTCATGCATCACGCCAACTCAAGGAGATTCACGTCGTTGTACAAATTGTAGCACAAAAGCTGCGGCCTATAGCACTGCAAAGTGTGAAATGTGGGTTTATGTCTGGGCGAAATGAGAAATTGCTTCGAAAAATTCTGCAGTAAATGATGAATGGTTGAAGGCAATGTGGCCCACTGGTTTCTCTGCAAAACCACCTTCCTTACACAAGTGTTTATTTGTGTTTTGAATTTTTTGTTTTATTTGAAAGTTATTAGACTAATAAAAGTATAATTTTCAAAAAATATTAAAATTTTAAGAATTTTCATATTGTTGAAACTCAAAGGGTTAAGGATGAAGACAGGATAAATAGCTCACGGTCCTTGGCTTGTTTGTTAGGGTACTGCGAGGGTATTCGCCTATTATCGATCGGAGAAATCACAATAAACTACCGACCAGTTCAGCTGACCGTTCGAATTCTCATCCAGACAGCGAGCTGCAGCGGCTGAATTCCACCTATCTAACTCGCTAAATCTAGTGTGAGAGATATTGAAGTGACATCAGTTGATGCCCTAAGCCACCTCGGCCGTTCTCTTGTCCAAAGTAGTAACTTACCCATTGCATTCAGAAATCACGTCAAAACTAAATATTCCAGAGACGTATATACGTGCCGCGAGGAGGCCATACAATTGAAAGAACATGTAAAATTTTGGTATTTTCTTAATACACGTTAGACTCCACTTACCTTAGCCAATTTCAGCATGTATTCAGTGACGATGCGACTAGCACAGGAGTATATATTGGCGCAATCTTCATACGCTGAAACAAGAAGAAATGCATAGTAGTAAATTCAAAATCGATTCTCTTATTTTCAATCACTTTTAGAAATGTATTTTTTATTATTTGGTGATTTTGTATTTTTTTTAAATTTCCTTTCTACTCTTTGGTGACAGTTCGGGACATCTGTGTACAGGAGGGATATAACAGATTCGAAGTTGTAGAATAATGATACATAGTGCAATGAGCACACGTACATTTTTGAACTTAGAATGCATTTTGACATTCTCCCTGACTCTTGTAAACACTCTACAACACAAATGCAAATAATTGTTAGAGGATTGTCAATACGTTTTTTTTATTTTCGGCATGATAATTTCGATAAAATGTAAAGACCAAAGATAGTAGAAGAATAAGACAGGCAGAGCAACACCGAGAATTTAAAAAAAATTAAAAAAGTATTAAAAAATTGAAAATCGTATTTGAAGTGTAAAAAACAAGTTTTGGGGGGATTTAAATCAATTTGCCCGGAGTATTCACACAAACGAAAAAAAAAGATTTTATCTTCTTATTTCAATTTAATATTTTTAATCACATTTCGCCTATGAATATTGTTTTTAATCTTTTTTTTTAATTTGCGATTTTTCTGTAAACCATAGAGATGTTTCGCAGGATCTTCGCAGAGTTTATTTCAGAAAGCTGACTTGGGAGGCACTGACCTCCCTTATAAACCATAGAGATGTTTCACAGGATCTTCCCAGAGTTTATTTCAGAAAGCTGACTTGGGAGGCACTGACCTTCCTTGCGGTCGGGGTCGTCGTGGGGCAGAACGGGGCGGCCGGCCTCGTGCCAGTAGAGGCGGGACACGCCGAAGGGCCCGCAGTAGCCGCCCTGGCAGCCGATGCGGCGCTCGCACCCCGTCGCGGCCTCGCACAGACAGCGCACGCACGCTCGGTGCAGCGCCGGCAGCCACGACGCGCCCTGCGCGCTGGCATCTTCTGCGGGGCGGTAGGTCGTCGACGGCGGGTCTACGAACATTTACATGCGTATACATTAATCTCAACTAATAAGTACAAAGTACACGTAAGCTTCCGCGGCTCGAATCCATAAATTCTCGGCCATCCGGGAGACGTCGCGTCGTTGGCTGGGAGGCCCACGTTTTGCCCGACATGTCGCAGGTTTCCTCAGGGCAGTGGACTGCCCAGTCTCTGCCTTGAGAATGCCTGCGACATGTCAGGCGTCGGCCTCCCAGCCAACGACGCGGCGTCTCCCGGATAGCCGAGAATTTAAAACGTACAAAGAACGTTTGATCGGCTGGGACGCAGTTGTCCTAGCTGTTGAATTAATTTCGAATAGAAAGTTGTGATGGAAAAGTCAATTGGACAACCCCTCCTCCGCTGATCAAAAGTCAATTCCACTTATATCTTCATCGGAAAATCTACATTAAGGGTTTTCGTTTAGAAAGAGGTTTGTTACGAATCTACTGAAATGATTGTTCCCGCAACAGCACATTCACACGTGAATGCCTGAGATCGTTTGAACCCCAGTAAATGAAGCTGCAGCTGTATTACATCTCACTGTACATCACTGTCTATTAGTCTAGCTCTTGAGGGAATTTAAATAAGAACACTAAGTTCAAACATAAGAATATGTATTGTTATTGAAATTATAAAACCAGAATAAGTCGTCAAATGTTACTTCTCCGCTTTCGAAGATATCTTGTACCTTGCACCAATTAATTTGCTGACGTACCTTCCCCAAGGTCTCGCTAAACTTTGACTATCCTGACGTTGATACTAATTGGGTTTTAAGGAAGAGGAAGGGAAGATCGCATGCGGTCCGTGGCTCGGTTGATTGGGTGCTCCAGAATTCGCTTGGTAATGATCAGAGAAACCACGAAAAACTACCGATAACAGCACTACCGATACCAGCCGTCCACTAGAATTCTCCTCCAGACAGCGGCTGAATTCGGCCTTGCTGTCCAACTAGTTAGAAAATCTGCCACTGTAGGAACACGACTCCTTGATCTTCCCCTCAGAGATACCACAGTCACACAACGGTAGTTACCTGAGCTACCTTGAACTATAAAATTAACAAAACTATCGTCTTTGAACTGATACAGATCGTTAAGATCGTTAAAGCTTACCTGCAGTTGCGATTTTGGCCGTGTAACCCGTAAGGCCCTTTTCGGAGATTATTCCCCCTTGCACACAGGCAGTCATACTCATTCACCCCTACTTCTAAACAAGGAGAGGGTTAGGAAAAATTATGGTTTTTGAAGGTGAAGTATGGTTGGTTTGGAGCCAAGTCATAAAGTAACATCCATGCGCAAGGTGGGTTTCGAACTCTGACCCTTCATATCCAGACTCTTGAGACATGACCATCTTAGCGGTCTTATCTATGCAGATACGAGGACTAAATATGTGTGTACATTCACAACATAATATGCTGAGTTTACCACGGAAAGACTTTCAACTTAGGTGACAGATCTAAATCGAATTCAACAACAAGCACTGGATGACAACTCTAGAACGAGAACTATGATTGGTAGTTTTCTGTGGTTTCTCCTATCAATACGAGGTGAAAGTCGGCGCAAGGGCCACGGACCTCACATGATCTTTCCTACCTCGTGTTTGTCCTTTACTCTTCATTTACTCTCTCTCTCTCTCTCTCTCTATCTCTCTATCTCTCTCTATCTCTCTCTATCTCTCTCTCTATCTCTCTATCTCTCTCTCTC